ATGTTTAACAAACAAAGTAAAAAGAAAATTACATAAGGTGACTTATGCTTTCTTTAAAAAATCACAAAATGAGGTGGTTTTATTATTTTAATTATAAGAGATTTTACAATGAAATTTGAACAAAAAATGGAGCAAAAAATACACTACACTACGTAGCTTTTTGGTTGGCAAAGTTTAGTTATTCTCTCAAAATTAGTACCCTGAGAACGTGATAGATCATTCTCGTTCGTGATTGTGTACAGTTGACCTACATTTGTTTTCCTAACTAGAATTTTTTCCCCCCGTGTGAAGCATTGGTGTTTTTGTGTATTATTTTTTCCCGCTTAAGTTTTTCTGACTCTATACAGGAGGTTCTGACTTTTTTTGGTTAGACACTTGTTATGTATACCTCTTTCTTTACTTAATAGATGCAATAATTAAGTCTTTTTTTCCTGTCAGTGAGTGGAATCTAAGCATAACACTTTTTCTACCATGGGATCCTAGTAACCTGGCTTCTTTTATTTCAGACTCTGTTACTGTAACTTTTGTTGGTCCTTTATGATCTGCAGAGTAATTTCTTTACTGTTTGTTTGGTTCATATCACTGGGAAAAAGTGGACTGTTAACTATTACTGCGTCCGATAGTTTATCTTGTTCAGTTTTATCTTCTTGGAGAGCAAAGTAGTCACTGAACTGGTTAACTAAGTTGTTCTTCCATCTTTTACTGCTTCTTCAACCTTTGTATTAAGAGATATTATTTGTTGGGTATGGCTATCTATGACTGTCTGGATGGTCTTGTCACAGTTAGTCATTCCTGGTGTTGATAACTTTTGTTCAAGACTGAGGATTTTGTTCTCGAGTTGTGTCATCCTGGTGTCTTGTTTTGTTAGCGTCTCTCGAAGATTCATATTTTCAATAACTAAGTTGGAGATGCATGACTTTAGGGTATCTGGATCGTTGGTCATACCTGAGAGACTACTTGGTAGGTTGAATCCGGGGAAGAGAGGGGAGGATGGGCTGGTGGCAGCCATGTTTGTTGTTAATTGTTGTGGTGTCGCCTTGAGTGGTGGTGAGAGGGGTGGTTGCTGGGCCGGCGTCCTCCTGGCTACACTTGTTGAATAGTTGATTTTTCGGTGTTTTCTTGCTGGCCTTGGTGCTTTTTTCCTCTTAGATTGCGCCTCATAATACTACAGGAATTGTTGCAGTTAAGAAGAAGTTGTAGTTATACAAAGTTTAGGGTTACGTTGTTCGGCTGGCAGCGGGGTGTTGCTTTCGGTTTGTGGGCAGTCTTCCTTTGATCTCTATTATTTTCGATTTGTAGGTTTCACTGTTGGTAATCTTTGTTCATTCTGAGTGCTACATTGGGTAGTGCAGTTTTGCTTGTAACTAGGTCATCATAGGAGCATTGGTAGCTCTGATACAGTGGACCCCCGGTTAACGATATTTTTTCACTCCAGAAGTATGTTCATGTGCCAGTACTGACCGAATTTATTCCCATAAGGAATATTGTGAAGTAGATTAGTCCATTTCAGACCCCCAAACATACACGTACAAATGCACTTACATAAATACACTTACATAATTGGTCGCATTCGGAGGTAATCGTTATGCGGGGGTCCACTGTAGTTGGAGAAAAGTACGGAGCTTGGAGGTCGCTGCTGCCGCTGAAGGAAATTACTTACCTTAAAATATCTGTAGTCTTAATGCAGAGTGAGAGGTGAGTAAACAAGATTAAATGAATAAATGAGAGGGAGAGAATGTAGAATGTTCGCAATTTTATGTAAACAAACGTTGTTGTTGTTGTTGTTGTTACCAGCCCAGACATGAATGGTTTCTGTTCACTCTGTGAAGCCGACCAGAAAAACATCTCATATTTGTTAATTTATATGTTTATATGTTATGTAGCATGTTCATTATATAATTTGAAAAAAAAAAATCATAGATGGATTAAGCAAAATGTCTATATTAACGTTTTATACACATTTAATGCGCCTCAGTGATTATGTTATCATTATTAATATGGCGTCTTCAAGACCAATTACACTCTTAATGAATGGCTCTAAGACAGACAAGCAGACAGAAAGACAGACACAGGTAGACAGAAAGACAGACACAGGTAGACAAAGACAGACACACAGGTAGACATAAAGACAGTCACACACAGGTAGACATAAAGACAGAGGTAGACAGAAAGACACACACACGCAGGTAGACAGAAAGACAGACACACACGTAGATAGAAACAGACACACAGGTAGACAGAAAGACACACAGGTAGACAGAAAGACAGACACACTGGTAGACAGACAAACAGACACAGATATACAGGCAGACAGATACAGACAGGTTTATGTGCAACAGTGAAAACAAATAGAGTTGGAGAGTAAGAGCCTTTCTTGCCACAATCTCCAGTGCAAGATTCAGACTTCATCTTAGGGCCATGGTGAAATTTACTGTCCAGTTAGTCAGTTAATACAGTATGATGCTGCTGATCGGGCAGGATTACTCAAACTGATGCTGCCTGCATGACACTTGCCGCCGCGAGTATTGTCAAATATTGTACAGTGGTGTGCATCAGCCGGCCCAGCCCAGCTGCCAGATGCACGGTCGTAAGTCGAGTTGATGTATGTCGAGCAGGTTGTAAGTTGGATGGTAGGTGCAATAGTATTTCTTACCCAAAATTGTGGGTGCTGGTGTTTGTGGAGAGTGGAGAGTTATGCTGTTGCCCTACTGGGCTGAAGTGGATGGTAGAGATCCTGGTACTGAAGTTGATGGTTGTACTGGAGTGTGCATAAATTCTGTAATGGATTTTTGTTCTATTTTACCCCACAGTACATTACAACTGACGGTAAGGCATCAGCTGCTCTATACACTGTTTCAGGGTCCTCTTCAGTGAAAAAGTCTAACTTTAAGTCAGTCAGTCAGTCAATAATTCACATTTACCTAAATCTTTTTATGTGCACAAAGTTACATTTCATTATGGCCACAGACTATCTTTTGTCTAATATCTCTATTTTCATCATTAATTCTAAGACTTAAACGCTTAAACCTTTTCTTGCCACTTTCAGCAACACTTGTATGCCTACTGGGTGCCATGACTGCTTAGCAGTTTTAACCCTTTCAGGTCGTCCCGTAATCTACGGCTTTACGTCAGGGCCCAAAACCGTAGATCTACGCCATGACTCAGCTCACTCTGATAACTGTGAGTGGTACATTGGGCCTAGATATGAAGAATACATCATGTGGTATGTGTGCACCACATAAAACACTCCCTGCAGCACACTGTGTATAATGAGAGAAAAAAAATGAAAACATGATTTTTCGATTAAAACAGCAACTTGCAGGTTTTTTCGTATGTTTTTTATTTGTATTTGCGATTTCTTGGTCTCATTTGATAGAATGGAAGACATATTACAGAAATAGAGATGATTTTGATTGGTTTTAGCATTGGAAATGGCTTGAAACTGAGCTCAAAGTAGCGGAAATGTTAAATTTTTGCCGATATTCAAGAGTAAACAAACGACCTCACACGTTAATACACGTCAGCTGTGGGTCTAATATACATTCACAAATATGGTGAAAGATTTTTTATACAATTATTACAGTATTGCATAACAAGTAAATCTTTTATTTTTTGTGTGAATAAAAATTCATTATGTTTAATAAAAAATCAAAATGGAATTTATTTGTAAAGCCTCAAAAAATAAATAATGAACAGAGGAAATGTTTTGTTTAGTTTCCAGGAATGCTACATTGTTCATTCTGGACCCTATTTTGAAATTGGAATATTTTGAACCTTTGTGTTAAATTGGCCAAATTAACAATTTCCGATCACTTTATTTTGTAGTTGAAACAGTTGACTTGGCGATTTCTTGTGCTCAATCGATAGAATAGAAGTAATACTAGTGAAATAGCTAAGAATTTGGTTGATTGGAATAATGTAATTGGCCTAAAATGGGAGTCAAAGTCGGCAAAATCGCCGATTCGTAAATATCGCTGACACATCAAAATTCGCGAGAGAATAATTTCGTCAATTTTCCACCAATTTTCGTACTTTTTGTTTTATTACCTTCACAAAAAGATTCTTTACGATTTCATAAGAAAAAATAACAAATTTTTTTTTTGAAAATTCTTGGACACTGGTGCGTGACTCCAGATTTGGGCCTTGGACCCTGAAAGGGTTAAGATATGGAAATTAAAAGATCTAAATTCTTTCCACAAACGAAAATAAACACAGTTAATTCCTAGCAGAGGATGGTCCTACACATGTATGAACCAGCTGGGACAAGGCTGGTGGGAGTGGTGTAGGGTGGCGGGGGAGGTGGCAGGGGTGGCCGGGGATGACGGTAGGTCTCCCTTATTGACTCAGTGGTCAAACCCACAGCCAGGCAGTGTGTATCTCACAGGTGACTCTCCAAATTTTTTCCTCTCCCGCAAACTGAACCATGTTAAGTTCATTTTACAAACTGTCATACAAAAATATGCTGTAATTCTTCAATAGTGTTATAACCAAAATATGCCAAAGAAAACTGTATTAAATGATGGTCTACTGTATTTTTAAATGTTTATGCAGTAGTGTACTGTATACTGTAATAAACAGAATAGCAGAAATCAACTCTAATATACATTATTTAGGTATGCATACTGGTCAGAGAGCCCGCCATAAGTCTGAATCATCGGTAAATGAGTACGCCGCTAAGTGATGAGAAGCTGTATAATAATTCACACATTTTGTAAAACATCTGCCCTTATTATCCTAATTTTAAAAATTGAAATGATTTACAATAAACATCACAAAAAAAAAGAAAATATATGATAGAAAAATAAAGTTACTGAATTAAAAAAAATAAATTAGAATAAAACTTTCCCTTTCAAAATAAGGTTCACATTGTGCAGCATCACAGGATACTGGTACTATACTGCTAGCAAAACATCAACACCACTATGTATCTCTGCCCATTTATAGACTGGGTGCAAATTCAAAAGTTAAACTAAATGAAAGACAAAAATGTTTTTCCTTACCTTTTAAAGGTGCCAACTTGCTCAGTAGGCTGAGCAAATACAAATTTTTGGGTTTCATCAAGAAACTTCAAGCGGATTCTTATACTTCCAGGAGGTCTTTTTTCCTCCTCCTCCTCCTCCTCCTCCTCCTCCTTCTTCAGTGATGGCTGTGAGTCAGTGGGTAAGGGGGAAATATTATCCTCAGTTTTAGTTGCATGACTACATGCATCTTCTACAGCAGCACCATTTGCAGACCCACACAATTTTTCTTCAGTGGAATTCTGTAGATCTTTTACTTCTGGAACTTCAGAGGAAATGGATGCATCAGCATGGGTCTCTGAACAAGTAGAAGTTTCACCCATAGACATGAACTGCTGTAACCGTCTTTTTCGAACTTCCATCTCAGGCATGCTGTCTCTCAACTTCTCCAGAGATGATACATGGGACGGAATAGAAGAAATTCTAGATAGATTTGTGACATTTTCATTTATGCTTGGTTCTTGAGTGAGATGCTGTCTCTCATCAACTTCATCTGACCGTGAGACTAATGTTGAGGGATCATTCTTATCACTGCCAAGTACAGAATTTTTACTAACTTCTGGCTGTGGTAAGCTTATGTCACAGGCTTCACTACTTTGGATTCCACCTGCTAGTTCTCTACCAGTTCTCTGGGGCATTTCCATTTCTGATCCCTCAGTGACATTAGTCTCTCTACTTGCTTTCATTTGAGAAGTTGACCTTAAAGCAGAAGCTTCTCCTTCTATCTCACCACTGCCCTGAGTCTCTCTCTGGCTCTGACCACTATCACTAAGAGTTCGCTCCCCTTCCACCGAGTGACCACTCTGAAACACCACTACAGCTGTTGCTACTAAAGGCTGTTCTCTCACATTTGTGGATAACCATGCTGCTGCTATAACCAATGAGACGACAAATATTACAACGATAGCTGTTACTGCATCTTGTATTCCTTCATAGCTTATCATTGTACTACTGTAGTTTTAATTACAGCAATGGTCTCTTCTGAAGTCACTCTACCCTAGAGTTCTGAAAAAAATACAAAATACATCTTACAACTACAATCAATGGAATCTTAAAGATATACTGTGAAATTGTTATACTTTTGCTAAATACAATGACTAAAATATAAAAATTGGATAATGAAAGTAGAAAATGAAGTTCAGCACCATACAATATAATATACAGTAATATTTTTGACAATACAGGAAGGACTCACTTTATAGTGTTTCACTTTATGGCATTTTGCGAATATACAGTGGTTTCCAATTATACCCATTCTTCATTTACTCAGACTACCTACAATAAATATATTCAGCACTCACTATAAGCTTAGTAATAAAATATTTTGAGGTAAGTAATGTGTGCACTGTATACATATTTTTTAGGCGGCAGAGCTTTATTGCTCACTTAATATATGATAGCATAAACATGTTATCAGGTTTTTATATTATCAGGCTTTTATATGCATTTGAGAGTGAAAAAAGGCTATATCTCATTTTACAGTGATTTTTCGTTTACAGCAGTAGCCTGGAACCTAACTTGCTGTATAAGTGGGGCCCTTATGCATAATGCAGCAGAACCCTGTAGCCACTAATTTGATATCCACGTTTTACTGTGGCTCAAAAATACAGTGGACCCTCGGTTATCGGCCAATTCAGATTTTATTTATTTATTTATTTATTTATTTATTTATTTATAATTTGAGCACACTTACAGAGGTTTAAAAAAAATACAGATAAGAGCAGCATGCCAAAGCCACTTATACTATGCATAGCATTACGGGCTGGCTTAAAATTAACTTAAGATTAACTAAGCAATGATGAAATCAGTGAAAAACATTAATGTAAACTGATTACTATAAAGCACAAGTGAGTATTACAAAGACAGGTCATATGGTTGCATGCATTGTTATGAATTCAGTAGAATGGAGTATTCTGTTAGGTAGTGTATTTAAAAAATAATAAAGTTAGATTGGGTTTTAGGTTTAACATTTATGTGATATAATTGTGAGAAACATTTAAGATATACAATTTATAAGGTTCAGTTATTCATATTTATTTGGTTTTGGGTGAGTAAGTGATCTTTGAGAAGAGACTTGAATTTATAAACAGGTAGTGTTTCTTTTATATTTACAGGTAATGAATTCCAGATTTTAGGGCCTTTTATGTGCATTGAGTTTTTGCATAGTGTGAGATGGACACGAGGAACATCAAAGAGTGATCTGTGCCTTGTGTTATGGTCATGTGTTCTGTTGAGGTTGGCAAGGAGATGTTTGAGGGGAGGGTTAATATCAGAGTTGAGTGTTCTATGTATGTAATAGGTGCAGTAATAAGTATGGATGTTTTGTATGGTGAGTAGGTTGAGTGTATTGAATATTGGTGGAGTGTGCTGCCTGTAGTGAGAATTTGTTATCATTCTAACTGCAGCCTTTTGTTGGGTAATTATGTGGTCTGAGATGGTTACTTGTTGTTGAGACCCCATGCACAAATTCCATAGGTGAGATAGGGGTAAATAAGAGAGTGATATAGGGCCAGGAGGGCTGACTGTGGAGCATAGTACCGTATCTTCGATAGTATGCCTACAGTCTTGGAAATTTTCTTAGAAATTTGTTGTATATGTGTATGAAATTTGAGTCTATTATCAAGGTGGATTCCTAAGAATTTTCCCTCTGTTAGCTTTGTGATAGGTGATCCGTTTATCATTATGTTAAGAGGGACATCTGAGCTCTGTTACCAAACTGAATGAAGTAGGTTTTGTCAATGTTTAGTGTAAGTTTGTTAGTACTCATCCAGGTAGATATTTTCTGTAATTCGGTATTTACAGTATTGGCTAGCGTGACTGGGCTCGGGTGGGAGAAGACGTATGTTGTGTCATCAGCAAATAGTGTGGGTTTGAGTAATTGAGAAGCATTTGGTAGGTCATTTATGTATAGGAGAAAGAGAAGAGGGCCAAGGACACTTCCCTGTGGGACACCAACTGTAATTGGTTGTGCAGAAGAGTTTGCCCCATTTGCGTACACATATTGGCTTCTGTTGCTGAGGTATGACTTGAGGTAGTTGAGGGAGTGCCCTCTTATACCATAGTGTGACAATTTTACGTGGAGCAAGTCATGGTCAACTGTATCAAAAGCTTTACGTAAGTCAATGAAGATCCCCAGTGGACTTCTTTTTTCTCTATTGCAGTGTATATATGTTCTAGCATGTGTATAATAGCATCATTAGTATTTTATTAGGCCTGAATCCAAATTGGCAGGGGTTGAGTATGTTTTTGGAGATAAGGTAGGAGTAGATTCGTTTATGAATAAATTTTTCGAAGATTTTTGAGAGAGGGTGTAAGTTGGATATTGGCCTATAGTTATTCAACTCTGTTTGGTCTCCTCCTTTGTGGATCGGGGTGACCCTTGCTATTTTGAGTACTGTAGGGAAGGTGGAGGATTCAATGGATTTGTTAAAGAGTGTTGCAATGATTGGTGATATCACTTGTGACACTTTTTTGTATATAAAGGGTGGTAAGGTATTTAAATCTCCTGCCTTGTTTTTTAGTGCGTTGATAATAAGGGAGACTTCGTATGGGTTAGTCGGAGCTAGGAACAGTGTGTTCGGGTAGTTGCCGGTGAGGTAAGTCATTTGGTGGGGTATCTGAGCTTGGGATTTTTTGGCAAGGTTTTGTCCTATAGTGGAGAAGAAATCATTGAGTCTGTTTGGTTTCTGTTGGTGGAGTTGGGGTTCATCTGATTTTGCTAATTTTATTTCGCTATTTCGTGATATCTTTTTTGTTCCCAGAATTTCTGATAGGGTTTTCCAGGTCTTTTTTATATCACCTCGTAAGTTGGATAATCTGTTCTCATAATACAATTTTTTTGCCCTTCTTATCAGCTGGTTAGGATTGACGAGTAACGTTTTGTTTGGTCTCTGGTTATGTGACCCATTCTGTACTGTTTTTCATATTGGTGTTTTGTATTTATGGATTTGAGAATGCTGGGTGTTAGCCAGGGACTGTTCAGTCTCTTAGCTGTCATCTGCTTAGTTTTTTTAGGGCAGTGCTTGTTATAGAGGTATTGAGTCTTTTTAGAAAATTATTAATACATTCGTCAATATCTGTATTGATTTCTAGCTCAGTGTGCCAGTCAATGTTTGCTACTGCTGTTGTGAAGTTATTAATGGCTGCCTCATTGTGAAGTCTGAAGGTGACTTTAGTAGTGTCTTGGGGTAATTTACCAAGAGTTGTTATGAGGAAAAGTAGGGTAGTGTCTGTGGTATTATCTGTAATATGCCTGATTTTAAAGGGGATATGGTGTTGGTCCAGATGTGGTCAAGTAGGGAAACACTAGTCTCTGTAACTCTTGTAGGTTTTGTTACTGTTGGTAGCAACATACAGTTACTCATTGTGTTTGTGAATTCAGAAAACGTGTGGGTCCTGGTCTTGCAGGAGATTTAATTGAAGTCACCTGAGAGTAGTAATGATCTTTGTTCATGCGTGAAATCAGTTTCATACTTCCTAGGTTTTGACAAAATTTGGGGCTAATGTTTGACTGTGGAACTCTGTAGATGTTTATCAATGTGAGAGGTTTTTGTAGGTATTTGGATTTGAATTTGGCTATTATATATTCCCCATTTTCCCATCTCTTGTGCAAGTATTAGTGATACATTCTAGTTGGTCTGAGTAGTATATGGCTGTGCCACCCCCCCTTGTTGGTCTGGCCTACAGTTTGTATGGCTGTGTAACCAGGAATGGCATAGACATCTGTACTATCAGGCTTAGCCGGTTTCAGTTAGTGTAATGATGGACATATTGGCATGTAAGGAATTTAGTAATGCTATGAGGTCATCGTAATGCTTGCTTAAAGATCGATATTGTAGTTAAAGATAGTTATGTTGTTATTGGCACTGAGAAGTGCCTTTGATTGTTCTGCAGTGTAGTAATTACAGTAACTTTTGATTCATTTAAGTCATTAAATTAGAGGTTGGTATCTGGATCAATGCTTGTAATCATAAATTTGTAGTGAATCTATAGTTAGAATTTTAAATAAAAACAAAGTAAATAGTCTTAAGCTAAAAAGTAGCAGCTTTTTTGGCTGAAATTCATCCCAGTTTTTTGGCCGTTATTTTGGAGACTGGCCATATTGGACGAGTAATAATAATACTCTTGGCACATTAAATGTCTATTTTTTGGGTTAATATAGACATCTTCAAATTTAATCCCTCATGAAATTTTTCTTCAAAATTATATAAGAAACGTTTCATGGTGCAGTGGTACCCCAATTTCGGCCCTAATTCGTTCCAGAAGGCTGTTTTGAATGCCATTTCCGAATGAATCTGTTCCCATAAGGGATAAAGTCAATTAGATTAGTCCATTTCAGACCCCCAAAAATACACTTACAAAAGCACTTACAATAACACACTTACATAACTGTTCGAGCTGGGAGCTGTACGAAACTCGGGGTACCACTGTACAGTGGACCCCCGCATAGCGATATTAATCCGTGCAAGAGAGCTCATTGTTATGCGAAATTATCGTTATGCGAATGAATTTTCCCCCATAAGAAATAATGGAAATCAAATTAATTCCGTGCAAGACACCCAAAAGTATGAAAAAAAAAATTTACCACATGAAATATACATTTTCCTACACACAAAGAGAAAGATACATGCACAATAGTAGAGTAGTACATGCACAATATATATTTGTGCATGTACTACTCTACTAAATGAAGAATAAATGACAACTTACCTTATTGAAGATGCAGCAATGACTGATGAGACACTGTGTCCTGGGAGTGCCTTTTCCTCCTGAGTACTGTAGGTCCTGTTTGGCATTTTCTTCTAGAACAGGCCTTATCACACTGTGTATGCCACTACGATTCTTAAATCTCTCAAACCAACCTTTGCTGGCTTTAAATTCACCAATATGAGCACTAGTTCCAGGCATTTTTCCCTGTTCACCTGGGTGTTAGTCGACTTGGTTGGGTTGCATCCTGGGAGACAAGATAAGGACCCCAATGGAATAAGTTAGACAGTCTTCGATGA